TCCAACCAGATTTGGAACTTGTCAGACCAAAGCATTGAGCCAGAAATGAGGTATGACTGAGCTAAAACAAATTTGGCTGGTGGTCGTGGCAACTGCCTTGACATTACCTAAAGCTCTGAACAACAACAACAACAACAACAAATGAAGGAAAAAAATAACAGCAGGGGCAACACTTTCTCAGTTATTCATACCTAGAAAATGTTGTCTTAAGCCCTGAACAGCGACAACAATGACAACAAGAACAAACAAAGAAAAAAATGACAGCAGTGGCAACACTTTCACAGTTATTCATAACTAGAAAATATTGTTTCATTAATTCCAGGATGTGATGCCGATGATCAATAAGCTAAAATACAATGAAGCCCTCAAACCAGCCATGGAACTGGCCTTTGGCAAGACATTGATCTGTAGGGACCTTGATGTGGCTGCTCAATTTGCTAAAAGTGAAAACCTGGACTGTATCACCCTTGAAGGTAAAGGCAAATCTCATGTATGAAGTACTAGAAGGTGTGTCCTTTACACCCTAACAGGAGCAGGCATAGCTCAGTTGTTTAGTGTGCGGCCTTCAGAGCTAGAGGTCCATMGTTCAATCCTCAGGAACTCCACGTCTGTTTCGACTTCTCTCTGTTCTGTGTATCTTTAATTAGCTTTAAATACCCTTAAAAAGGAGCACTGATAGTAAGAGGGGATAGAGGCCGCACCTTCAAGCGCATTTAACATGAGCCCTTGGCCTTTACCTTTTTTACCCTCACACTATCAGTGCTTCTTATTACAGGTATTTAAGAAGAGATAACTAGCTAAAAACTAGTGTGAGCTGCATTGGTGTTTCTAATGAAACAGTAATGATAAAAGGGTAAATTTTACACCTTGAAAAAAAAACTTACTGACATTTCGGACGCTAGTCCTTCGTCGGAGTAAAAGAGGGAACAGGCATTTAAGACTATTGCCTTATTCACCACAAGCAAAATAGTTTCTTTCTGATTTGAACAAGCTTAACCAACTCCTGAATGATATGTGTTTAAATAAACAATTGATTGATTGTTATTGATTTTTTCTGACCTGTCGATAGGTGATCAGGTAAGCAGGCGTGGTGCACTTACAGGAGGGTACTACGATACACGTAAGTCAAGACTGGATCTACAGAAAACAATCTGGGCCAATGGCAGAAAGGTGGAGGAAGAAGAAGGAAAGGTTCACACTATTAAAGCACAGCTAGAAGGTATGGTTSATCAAAAAGATTTTGGACCGGTATTCATTTTAAGCTGTGCACAAGTTCTTTACATTCATACAAAGACTGATTTATCATATAATTATCCATAAAATACCTATATTTCTCATTTTCGAAAAACTGTTATTTTCACATGTGAAAATATCGTTGCCATGTTATTGGCTTATAAATAAATACTTTTTTATAATAATAAAAAGCTTTTTAAGCTGATTTTATGGATAATTATATAATAAACAGAATATTACAAGGGCGCTTGGAGATACTTATCTTCTCGTTTTGAAAATCTCACTCGTTCGCTACACTCACTCGTGAGAGATCTTTTCAACACTTGAAGATGAATTTTCGTATCCCCGCGTGCCCACATAAATATCCTCTATTTATCATGCAGCTAATCATTGTCTAACCATGATATTTGTTGCTAGCCATTGACAGTGAGATTACAAAAACTCTTGGGAAATTACAAAAAGCAGAAACAAGACAAGTACAACTAAGGTAAATTATAAAATAACTGTTTATARATCTGGCATTCTGGTTGGTTGGGAGTGTGTGCTTTATGAGAGCACACAGCAGCGCCATTTCATAAAACAGATAAAAAACTTGCTTGCTGTGCTGTGTGGAGTTAATAAGCACTTGGGTATTGGCAGGACACTCAAGAAGTGTTGAGAAATACTCTACTTTGTGTCRTGCTTCTCCTAACACTTCTCATGTTCTACCTATCCCCTGCTTTGTAACTGCACACAGCACATATGCACATTTTCTATTTCTTCAACATAATAGAAGTGTTGGTAATACACTGTCATCAAGACAAAAGGTCCAGTGCTTGACATAAAGGCGTCCACTATGGATAGTGAAGATTAGGACTCACTAGTCCATAGTATGTTGGGATGTTTGGATTAAAAATTATCTGGGCTACTCAATCAATAGACTTTCTTCCTGATTGCATAGTATATTGAATAATTAGTGTTGAGCACTGAGGTTCAAGACCCAATCTACTTGATTGAATATATCAGACAAGGGGGACTGAGACTTTAGCAGATATTTGTTTGATAAGTGGGGGAGCAGTTATAGCTCTCTCTCCAGCCTTTCCCGTGGTCACTGTGGTTGGTCATCTTACCCTACTCTGACTAATAATGCTATTGTTTGATTGTAGAGAGACATATGATAAGCAGAAGTTAGATGTACGAGCACTAAACCAGAACAAAGAAACCATACAACAAACCCTACAGGCCAGGGTATGGATAACATCATAGTTAAAATTAATAGATTAAAATAATACACCTTTTCATGTATTTCATAAGGAGATTGCTTATAGTTGGGGGGGGATGCTTATAGTCAGGGGGGCTGCTTATAGTCAGGGGGCTGCTTATAGTCAGGGGGCTGCTTATAGTCAGGGGGGTGCTTATAGTCAGGGGGGTTGCTTATAGTCAGGGGGCTGCTTATAGTCAGGGGGGTTGCTTATAGTCAGGGGGATGCTTATAGTCAGGGGGGGCTGCTTATAAGTCAAAGGGGCTGCTTGTTGGGGGGGGGGGGGATCTTTTCTTTTTACAGAACTCAAACTAAAACCAAAAAGATATTTCATTTTCTTAAAAATGGACCCTCCCAACTCTACTATCCCTGTGAAGAAAAATTGAAAGAGGATGCACAATTTCAAGATGCTGTGTGTCCTGGAGGCGGGGACCACTTGATTCAAAACCTAGTAGTCAGTGAAGCATTAGTCAAACCATTGCTATTTCTTATTTGAAAATAATGAGTTTTAATTGTATTTTTGTATCAACAGGAAAACAAGCTCACAAGTATACAGACTGACCTGACGGCAATGAATAACACATTAAAGTCTTGGAACGATGAACTGGGTACAGAACTACTGTCACAGCTAACAACACAAGATCAAAATGAGGTAAAGAACACATATCATCAATCAGCACCTCAGCCTCCAATAAATCAATCAGTCTGTCAGTCACAAT